TCTGGGAGTGAGGAGGAGAAAGGCCTTGGCAAAAACTATATGTGAAGGTTTTGGAAGGAAAGCCTCAGAATTCAATGCCTGGTACTTTCTAATAGCTCTAGTTCTGCATGTGGACTTGAAGCTAGCAGGATGGAAGGTTAAGTCCTGACTCTGTCATTTATATATGAGCCTCCTCTCTGTGCTTCAGGTTACTCAGCTGCAAAATAGGGATAACTTGTAATATCTTCCTCAGGCCTGTTGTGAGGCTGGAAAGAGCTAACACAGGTAAAATGCTTAGAACAGATAAGAGTGACTCTCTTATCATGTGGGGTTCCCAGACTTCCAGATGGAGTTTCTCTTTGCCCTCCTGGGATATCATGGGTGGAGCAGGGTGAGGACAGCCAGATATCTAGGTCCTGCTTCTGAGGGCAGGTGGGCACTCTCTCTGAGAGGCTCTTGGACCCACCTAGAAAGGGCTGGGGATTTGTGGAGGATTGTCTATTAAGGCACTGCTAGATGTTCAGGCATCCCTGCAGGCCAGGGGGGAACAAGGCCTTGGAGGAAGCACTGATCCAGGGTCTGACACTTAGCGGGGTCCTGGCCATTTTCAAGACCACTGGTCACCCATCACTAGGAGAAAAGGCATTTCGGCCTGTTGAGGTCTTTTAAAGGAATGTTATGAGAAATGGGCATCAGTCCACTTTGTAATGAAAGCAAATTTTAGGACAGTCATGGTGAAGGAAAAACCTATACCATCTCTGCTAGGGTGGGGGAGGGGGATGCCTGGGCCTTTGAGGGCTTGGGTGTTGGGGAATTGCTCACTGACTGAAACATGGGCCCTTCAAGTTGGTGACTTGAGGCAGGGCAAGCCTTGAGCTTGGTGTGGTCCTCAGGGCTCCAGTCCTGCCTAGGTCCTCCAGCTTCAGGATGAGCAGGTGATGGATGTAAAGATATGGGCTGCCCAGGCTGTAGTCCACAGGTAAGGCCAGGGAAGCTGCCAGGCTGGGGCCTACAGGAGTCAGGCGCACAGATGTAGACGCAAGAGCAGCTGCAGGGCTGGCTGGCTGGCTCCAAGGACCTGAGGAGGAGGCATGGGCGGTGGGGGTGGGGGTGTCCGGAAAGCATGCAGTTTCCTGTCCCAGGAGCCTGGCACTTCGCTTTGCCAGGAGGCACAGAGAAGGGGGCGTTTGTCCAAACCAGAGTTCCAGAAGCTGCAGGTTCTGCCTGGCTGAAGTAGAAACCGTTCTGTGGTGCCCACAGAAGGCTCAGGCAGACACCAACTGCCTCTGCAGTGTGGGCGAGGGGCTGGGAAGCGTTCCCGGCGAAATCTCACGCCTGGGGGAGCCAGACCTCTGGGCGTTTGAGATCGAGGGGACCTTGGTCCTGGAAGGGCACACCCCGTGGGGCTTCTGAGCTCTGGGTTCCCACATGGGCTTCACCAGATGCCAGGGACCAGACGGGATCAACCACCAGAAGTCCCCTCACCCCCACGATGCCCACGGCGGGGATCAAGCCTGAGGGGTGGGGGGACTTAGAAGGCCACAGCCCGCTTGGAAGACGACGGAGGGCCCAAGATCAAGGCCCACAACAGCCAGGCGACGCTTATGGTTTCAAGTTCCCTTTGTTCTTATGTTTCTTCAAAGTGAAAAGCAAAACCAATTTTTTTAACCTGATCAACATTTTGTTGGCCCCGAAGCAGCAGAACCTGCTGCCGGAACCCAATGCCCCTGTCCCAGATCTCCTCGCCCCTTCCTGTCGGCGGGACGCTTGCTCGCCTCTGGGAGGCCCACATCTGGCTGGAGAAAGCACTCAGGGTTGCAGACCATCGGACCGCGCGGGTTCACTGGCCATTGAGGCATTCCCGACCCCCCACCGCCGCTCTCCGGAGCCGGGTTTTCTTGGGAAGCGAAGCGGCTCCAGCGGATCAGCGTTTCTGGTGGCTCAGGCCTGGCTTCCGATTCAATTTAACACAACCAGTGCATCTTATCTCTGCGTCGCCTCCCGGAGGGGGGGGGGCGGGGGGAGACGGAGCCCGGCCATACCCAGCCAGGGAGGAAGCGGAGCCGCGAGCTTTTGAAGTCCGGGGAATTTCAATCCGAGAGGAGCCGCCAGGACCTAAGCCTGTCGCCCCAGCGGGGAGGAGACAGCAGGCCCGCGGTGGGGGGCCAAGGGAGGTGAGAAGCGGTGGGGGCCTGGGCTGGACCCCACTAAGGCTGCTATCACTCCTTCTCTCCGCTTTTATTGGGTTGCCAAGGCCTGGCGGCTGCTGGGACACTCCCTCTGAAAATTTACCTCCTCTTCCAGCCGTGTTGGGAAAAACCTTCATGATACAGTGATAACCACGATATTAAAATTCCCTCTCAATCAAAAAAACTGAAACAGTGTTTTTATCCAGTCCCCTCCTGTTTTTTTTCATGTTAAAAATCCGACCTCTCTTCATTTAACATTGACGAAAGTATGCTTTGGGAAGAAGTAACATTTGGTTAAAAAATATTTTTTTCCCCTCCTGTCCGGGGCGTGCAATAGGCCTTAAAATCCAGGGAATTCGAGGCTTCTTTGACCCGACGGAGGCAGGACGCGGGAGAGGGATGGGGCGGGAGTGGTGCTGAGGGGGGCATTCTTGAAGCTTCAGATACGAAGCCCCCCTACTCCTAGGGAGGCTGTGCCAGGACTTGAGCCTCGTTGCTTCCCGGGACGCCAGGGGAAGACCCCGCCTCGGTTGTGCCAGACCCAGGAAGGAGAGGCCAGTGGCACCTCTTGATCTCTCAATCGAACCCTGCTTTCATCTCGCAGGGAAAACCCAGAGAAGAGGATCAAATGCAGAGCATTCCCATTGAATGCAAAATGGGGGGCGGGGCGGAGGAGCCGGGAGGCCCTCTGAGGATCTGGGCCCTCTGAGGTGAACGCAGCGCGGCAGCTGTGAGAAAAGGGTGGCTCAGCCTTGGAAGGGCCCAACCCACGGTGGGCAATCAGGGCAGCTCTAACACAGACGCTGGGGGATCGACTTTGTCGGGAAGGGGAGCCAGCGAGCCAGATGATCCTCAGGCTCTGACTGCTGGCTGGGAAGGGCAGGGCATGACAGCATCTTCGAGCATCTCTGAACCGCAGCAAAAGGCTTTAGGATTTGATCCCCTCCACTCCCAACCTGTCCTCTCACCTATAAAATATCCCCAGGATTTGGGGGCTAGCAGTACTCAGCAGATGGTAGCTTTGGGAGTCCCAGGGAGTGGAGACTTCTATGAGGACATTATCTTCCCGATTCTCTTCATATCCTGTGAAGTTAATGAGCATCTTCTTATCGAATAAAGGGAGAAGTCACAAGCAGGGGTGAGAAGGGGACTTGACCCTCTCCTTGAATCCCTTGTTTCCTCCACCACCTCCCAAAGCCCACAGATAGACTGAGCTGGGGGGGTGGGGGAGGGGTGGGGGTGGGAGAAGAGTAGAAAAAAAGAAAATGGAGAGAAAAGTAGGAGATAGAAAGAAGACAAAAAAAGGTAGTGATAGAGGGACTTTTCTTTAGCATCTTGGAAATTGGGGCTTTGTCTTGGGACATGGGGACAGAGGGGGGTCACAGAGGGAGCCCTTTGTGGCTTAGAGCTAGCAGGTCTGAGGAGGAAACAGGGAAAGGAGACTTTAGGGGCCACAGTGCAGAGAGTAGAGCTGCCTCCTGTCCTCAGCAAATTGGGGAGAGACCCAGCCCACCTGCCTGGCCCTGACACACTTGCTCAGAGCTGGTAAGGGGTCAGTTCCTTGATGGGTTCTAGTTTGCCTTCCCTGGAAGAAGACCCTAGATGGCGGAACCTGCAGGCAGCAGCTCTCAAAGACATCAAGCACAACACCCAGCCCCCAGCCTTGCCATGAAGGTCCCCCTTCTATCCCTTACATTTTCAGAAGAGCCCTCAGTCACTTGCTCTTTCACAGGGCATTTTCGGTGACATCTCTCTAAGGGCTGAAGTTCCTGGGCAGATCCCAGGGAGGACCCTGTGAGTCAAACCTCTGCAAACCCCAATGGAGAGGCTCCATCACTCTGAACCCCAGCCCCAAATCTCTGGTGAGAACAGTGCTTTCTTTCAGCCAGGGGCCACGGTTCTGCTGTTGTAGTGGACGAATTTGTCGGCGCCCCTTCTTTCGAAAAACCCTGTTTTTGAGGGAATTCGTTGACTCTGAACGAATACTTTAAAATATGGGCAAGAAAAGGAAAAAAAAAAAGGCCACTCTCAGAACCTCTCCCCACCCTACATACCTGAAGTGCAGGCGAGGCCCGAAGAAATGTGAAAGCGATTTCTTCTACAAATAGCCACCTGGAGGTCAAGCCGGGCTGTGGAACGCTTAAGGCCACCTAGAAGGGGAGGTGGGGGAAAAAAAAATCAGCGAACATTTTGAGCCAGCAGCCAAAGCGAATCTTTAAAGAAAACATTTTAAGACCTTTACCTCTTGCCCTATGGGGAAGAAAAATAGCAAAGTTCTGTTTGGGTTCCCAGGAGGAAGGAGACAGCTGGGGGTAGAGGATAGCAAGAGGAAGAAAGAGGAAAGGATACCCTAGCTCAAGCTCTTCAGATAACTTGGGGGTGGGGGATATGTTTTTCAGTAGCTTGTAAAAAAAGACCCTGGAGCCGGTTTGAGGTTAGCTCGCCTGGGACAGGCAGCTGTAGTAATGCCGGGAGAAGCGAGCCTTGTGAGCCGGCCTTCACAACTCCTAAAATGCAGTTATGGATTCTCTTATCAAGGCACCAAGTCAAGAAAACAAAAGCCAAAACAACAATAAAAAAAAAATCAAAAGCGTATTCAATTACCGAGTCCCGCAGCCCCTGCGGAACTCGCCGTGCGCGTTAAGCTCTCTTTTCTTTCCGCGGAATTCCATTTGCATCCCCTCTGCCAGGGTGTCTCCCTCTCCCAGTGTGTGTGTCTCTCTGTTTTCACACTCTCCTCCCCATTCGAGCGAGGCCCACACCTGGCGCATCACTGCCGAGCCATTAGCTGCGGGTCTCCTTTCATCTTCGCTGTGGCAGACGTTTCTATTTATCCACTAGCGCTCGCCGAGTGGCGTCACCAGCGGTACTGTAATGACGATTGCAGCAGGAGGATGACAGCTTAGAAAGAAGAGGGCAATGGGGCTTCCTCCCAGAGGCGGTGCGGCACAGAGGAGCGCTCGCATCACAAGGTGACCCCAGCTCCCCACCGCCGCCACCGCCGTCACCGTCGACTACGCGCTCCCGCTGCTCTGCGCCCACCCAGTCGCCTGGCTTCTCTTTCTCCCTCCCGCAGCCCAAATCTGTCGGACCTCTGGGGACCCAGGGAGTCCGGATCTGGGAGCTCACTTGGGGCTTTCCCCCTCCTCCCTCCGGAGAGCCCCGGGATGGAGAGCCGAAAGGACATGGTTATGTTTCTGGATGGAGGACAGCTTGGCACTCTGGTTGGAAAGAGGGTCTCCAATTTGTCCGAAGCCGTGGGCAGCCCGCTGCCAGAACCGCCCGAGAAGATGGTGCCCCGTGGCTGCCTGAGCCCACGGACTGGTCCTCCCGCCACCCGGGAGCGCGGCGGGGGAGGCCTGGAGGAGGAGCCGGTTGACGGACTAGCAGGCAGCGCTGCGGGGCCGGGCACCGAGCCGCGGGCAGCCGGAGCTGCCGTGCTCGGCCCCGGGCCTCCAGCCCCCTCCGTCGACAGCCTCTCGGGCCAGGGGCAACCCAGCAGCTCAGACACAGAGTCGGATTTCTATGAAGAAATCGAGGTGAGCTGCACCCCGGACTGCGCCACGGGGAACGCCGAGTACCAGCACAGCAAAGGTAGCCACCGCGCCCCTCCTCTCCCCCGGCCTCCCACCGCGCCCACCTTCCACTTCAGTTCTGGAGAGGAGGAAGACACTCCTTTCCCTCAGGGCAGGGTAACTGGGGGGACCCACCTAAGCAACTCTCCCCTGCTATCTGCGCCCTGGGCGGGGGTCTCCTTCTGTGCTCTGGCATTGGCGGGACTGAGGGTGACAGCTGTGCTTTGGGGGTGAGGATGGGGGAGACGCAAGTCCTGGGCTTAAGGAGGATTGAAAATGCACCCCAACCCCCAGAGTTTTGTGGTGTTACTTCAACTGCGCCTGGAAGATACCTTTCCCCGGGGTGAGTGAGATCAAACGCCGATCAGGGCAGTTTGTGGCTGGCGGGGTGTAAGGCGCATCCAGGCGCGGAAGCCGGGAGTCCATAAAAAAACCGTAAAATCGCGGCTGACCCGGGCCGCCTGGGTGCTGAGGCCCTCCGACCAGTTTGCACGTCGGTCAGAGGTCCAAATTACCTTGTCACTTCCCGGGCTCGGTGGCGCCAGGTCGGAAATGGTCCCAATGATCTAATTGCCTTTGGTCTCCGGTTGCATTTGAAAAGGCAGAGCTCTGGTCCTCCCCCTCCCCCTTTCCTTCGCAGTCCCACCTCTCCACCCAAAGGAAAAAGAGCTGCAGGGGGCAGGAGCTCCACCCTACCCTGGGTTAGGCCCAAAGGGGGGGGAGGTGCTGTCACACTGACTTAAACGAAGATCCCCTCCCTGACCAGGGGCTAGTGTGGGGTGGTGGTGAATGGCCAGGACTGGAGTCTCCCCCAGAGGGTGGAAAGCTAGGAGAGAGAGCCCACCAGCAGACACTCCTCCACAAAGCTGTGGGTTGGGTGGGAAGAGCCTAGTATGGAAAAAAGCCACCCCCTGGCCTTGGCAGCCAACACCTTGTTGAGCACTCAAATCTGCTCATTATCTTATCCACTGGACCCAGGCTCTCCAACCATAGCACACACCACCCACACTCCACCCAAAGCTTCTAAGGTAATAGGGTGCTTATACACACTCCTATGCCATCCTACAACACAAGCAACCTACTACACATTCCCACACCTGCGCTGGCAGCTTGGCACACACAAATGCAAAGAAACAGGTAGTGAACAGCATACTATTTAATACAATGCACTAAGACCCAGAGTTCACAACACTCCATCCAGCACAATGGTGTATCTCAACTCACTTGCCTGTCAGATATGCACATTTTTGCCCACTCCTGGCAACAGTAGGCATAAAGCTACAAGGGGCTGCATCTCACCTGTGCTCCGGGGCAGGTGGCTGGGCTTCTATATACCCAGCAGGCCTAAGAGACCTTCCAAACAGCAGTGCGGACAGGCCTAATGGCTGCTCTTTGCTCATCCCAGTGGTGAGCCCCTGTCCTCCCTTCCTGGGTTCTTGAAGTCCCCAACACCCCAAGCAGAGGCAGTGACTGAGGCTACTGAGAGGGGCTGTCCCTTTCCACCCTGGGCCTACAACCCCACATCAGCAGCGTTTGTGTGTCTGTTGTGGTGTGTTTGTGTGTGTGTGCTCTGGGCTCCTTGCGCAGGGCCGGGCTCCGAGCCACTGGCCAGCAGTCCCAACAGCGGCAGCGAGGCCCCCAAGAGCAACGGCGGTGGCAGCTCGCAGGGCACCCTGGCCTGCAGCGCCAGTGACCAGATGCGCCGTTATCGCACCGCCTTCACCCGGGAGCAGATTGCACGGCTGGAGAAAGAATTCTACAGGGAGAACTACGTATCCAGGCCGCGGAGATGCGAGCTGGCCGCCGCCCTAAACCTGCCGGAAACCACCATCAAGGTATGAGTTCTGGGGAGCAGGAAGAGGGGGTGCGCCCACTCAGCAGGAAGTAAATACCACTGCTCAGTCCCCAAATCGTGCGTAAGCCAGGAATCGGGGTCTGGGATCTCCCTGCCCGCCTGGCAGCTAGGCTGAGGGTGTCCCGGCCTGGTGCAGCCGCCAGGTGCATGCAGATGTACCCTCCCGACAGTCCCTAGGCGGCCACTGATAACAAGAGGTTGACTCTGTCCTTTCCTAGCCAAATAAACAGAGGGGATGGGGTGCTGTGACAGTGACAAGGAAGCGTCCCAAGGGAGAGAGGCTGGAAGGGGAGGTGTTTCTGGCGAAACGCTGCCTGATGCCTCAGACTCGTGGAGTCCTTAGTCCCGCTCTACTGGCGCACTCACACCGGTGCTGGCAGTCTGGGGATTCTGGCTGCGGAGCACAGGGGAGGAGGGACGCAGAGTGGAGGCACTCTCTGCACCTCTCGTGGAGGGAGGGATTGCAGCTCCAGGTGGTGGTGGTGAAATTAGCCCCCGTCCAGAGGCTCTCCCCCTCGGCTCTTCCTCTGGCCGCGGGCATCACCCCCTGCAGTGGGGCAGCACTTCTGCTCGGGGAGCCGAGAGCAGCCACCCAGCCTGCGCCTCTCCCCCCAGGTGTGGTTCCAGAACCGGCGCATGAAGGACAAACGGCAGCGGCTGGCTATGACGTGGCCGCACCCGGCCGACCCTGCCTTCTACACGTACATGATGAGCCACGCGGCGGCCGCGGGCGGCCTGCCCTATCCCTTCCCGTCGCACCTGCCGCTGCCCTACTACTCGCCCGTGGGCCTGGGCGCCGCGTCCGCCGCCTCTGCCGCCGCCTCGCCCTTCAGCGGTCCGCTGCGCCCGCTGGACACCTTCCGCGTGCTGTCGCAGCCCTACCCGCGGCCAGAACTGCTGTGCGCCTTCCGCCACCCGCCGCTCTACCCGGGCCCTGCGCACGGACTGGGCGCCTCGGCCGGCGGCCCCTGCGCCTGCCTCGCCTGCCACAGTGGCCCTGCCAATGGGCTGGCGCCCCGCGCCGCCGCCGCCGCCTCGGACTTCACCTGTGCCTCCACCTCCCGCTCGGACTCCTTCCTCACCTTCGCGCCCTCCGTGCTCAGCAAGGCCTCCTCTGTCGCGCTGGACCAGAGGGAGGAGGTGCCCCTCACAAGATAAGGGGCCGCCCGCGGGCTGCCAGCTCCAGGACGCCTGTGGGGGCCCCCCACCAGGGGACTCAGCCAGCGCCCCTCCCCGCCCCCAGGGCACCGAGGGGAAAGTTAGAAGGCTGCAAAGGACCAGCGGGACTGGGCCTCGACGATGGGGCCGCCCAGGAAGCATGGCTGGCACATTTGGGCAGCAAGAGTGGAGATGGGGAGGCAGAGGCTGAGAGACCTTCCTCTGGGGTGACTACTCTTTGCTGTTCTTCACTGGACCCACTGTCCCCCACCCATGCTGAGGCCGTGGCTCCAAAGCTAAACAAACTTAGCAGCAACAGCAAGCAACGTTCAGCCCCTCAGCAACCCCTACCCCGCCCCACTTCACACTCCTTCCTCACCCGGGACCCCACCCCCCCACCACAGCCAAAGCCAAGCCCAAGCATTGGGAAGGGAAATTGCTGTTTCTCTAAACAAAATGCTGCGTATGCAGAGCAGGTAGAGATTAATCTTTGCCAGCTTTTCCAAGGCATGGCAAGGGGCTTGTGGATGGCAATGCACCAGCCATCGAGGGGAGAGAGTGCACGAGATGATTGACTACCACAGAGAATCCTGGCCCTCCCATGGAACCTGGGGGCTCTCTTGCTTTATTGGAGCCTCCTTTACACATCTTCTGGCTCTGCCATCTCCTAGCACCTGATCTCTTTCCTCTCTCCTAGCTTCTTGGTATCTCTCAACATGCAGCTCCATCTCCACTCCCGCCCCTGCCCCACCTCCACTTTTTGTTAAGGATGGCAGGGAGGCTGAAGACCCTTCAGGGCCCCTCGGAGGCTCCTACCAAGCCTCTTCTCCCTGCGCCCAACACACACTGTGATTAGCAAGTGATGTGTGTGAGGAGGGTTTTTGAATGTTGAATGTATAATAATGATCACCATGCAGCCAGTCACAGAGCCCAGAGCCGAGCCATTAACAAGGCGCCTAGGGAAGAGCTTAGAGAGCAGCAGACAGGACCTCATCTCCTTCTCTCAGTGTCTGGTGGCAAATTAGAGGCTATTTCCTGCCGTTGCCTACCCCCCTTCCCTGTACCAGGGGCTTTCTGGGCCTTCCCTTTGCACTGGGCATTTTACATTCTTTTTCCTCTCAGTTTCCTCCCAAGTTGCCACTGGACCTCGACTTTCAGATACTAGTGGGAGCCTTCTGCTCCTACTGGGGAAAGTGTCTCCCTATTCACCAGGGTTTGTTTGGGAGCCACTCCCAAACTCTCCCACACTCGTTCTTGCAGCCAGTTTTTGAGGGATAGGAGAACTTGTACCCCCCCACCACCACCACCACCAATTCAAGCTTCACCCTAACTGGGAAGGAGTGGTTCTTCCTGAATGAATTTGGTTTGGTTTTCCTTTGAAGCCCAAAGAATTTGCTGTTTCAATTTGTTAACCATATTGCAATAAAAGCTGGACATGATTCTCATTTTAGCATTTTAATTTTGGGGGCAGCAAACTGTACACTGGCTCTTCTTACATTGCTAGTTCAGCCACCATAGGCTTGGGTAGGGAAGGGACCAAAAGATGGACCCACAGACGAGTCTTCCAAGCCTCTATTGTACATGGGCAGGCTCCAAATGGACATTGCACAGAGGTGGAGAAGGCAGGCTCCAAGTTGCCCTGAAAGGCATGTTTCCTTAGTTGTGTGCACACAGGGAGCCTTCAGTGACTAAACGGGCCCTGCAGAGCACTGGCCCACGTGGGGCTCACCCCTGGGAGGCTTCCTTCTCTAGCTGCTCCAGCTCTTTGAGGGAAAGGTGACCCTGGACTGTGGTCTGGGTGGATCCTACCTCCACCCCAACTCAAGGTTGAGAGCAAAGGGGAAGTGGGGGTGGGACTTGAGCACTGCAAGAGAGCTGGGTTTGCTGGTCAGGCTGGGTCCTGCAAATCAGGCTTCAGGGAGAGGAGGGAGAAAGACTCCTGGGTTGGAATGGGAGGGTCTGAATCTCCAACTGGAAATCGTCTCCGAGGGTGGAATTCTGAGCTGGTCAGGGCAAGGGGACACAGTGCCCAGGAGCCATTCTCCTTATAGGAGAGGCGCCTTGCCTGCTTGTGAACCCCTGCTCGAGCAGGGGACAGATGGGTGTCCATAGCAGGCTAGGAGCTCAGAATTGCATGGACTCCAAGGGTCCTCCGCCTGTGTATCATGGGCCCGGTGTGGACTCCTCAATCGGCCTCCATCCTTCTTTGAGCTCCAGAACAAACTTTGCACGGTGACTCTTGACCTCCCAAGCAAAACCCTGTGCTGAGGTTTCCATCATCGTCCCCACCAGTCCCCCATCCCCCAGTCCCGCGCAGCTCCCTCTGCAGCCGGGAAGCTCCCAGTGCCAAACCCCGGCAAATTTCGCGGTGACTTCGCGTCCGCCCGAGATTGCTTGCGACAGGTAAATGGGCTGCGGGTTGCCATAATACCAGGCGTATTTTCAGTTAATAGGGAGGGAAAATGAGGTGTCTGCAGCGATATTGGAAAGTACAAGATCGATGATCCGGCCTCGTGTCCAATCAGCAGCCTTTAATTGACTGTATTTTCTGGGTAATTGAGCCTCTCTTCCTCCAAATTGAAGTGGAAGATATAACAATACATCTTGCCAGGAGGAATTACTCATTACTTCATAATGAAATTTCCCTTTTGCCAAGGTTTGCGGTTTGGCGTTAGGCACCACTTCTCACACTCCCTCCCCCATCCCCGCACCTAAAAACAGGTTTGCCCGCCTACACCCGGCAGCTGCGAGAGGCCTGATACCTCCATTTTGGTGGTGGTGGAGGGAAGACTGGATGACCATGAAGAACACACTGCCCCTCCCCACAGCCTTAGTCTCTTTATCTGTAAAACGAGAAGGCTAGACCAAGCAGCAGGGCTGATACGATGTTATTGTTCTCGTTTTCCAACTTTCTGAGCGCCTCTGCTTAGCTTTGCCCCACCTGGGTCCCATTTGGCAGGTGGGAAAATGGAGGCTCGGGTTCTCACACAGCTGTTAGCGGCCCATGCAGCTATGAGCTCCAAGTTTCGGTTTCCCTTCCCTTGTCCTGGGCCTGTTTGGGGCCCAGAGGCCGTGATCACCCCTCACGAAGTCTGACACCTCACTCCCGACTCACATTTTCTCTGGGGTCCTGCACCTAGTCGGGACCCGGCGGGGCCTGGGAGCGCAGACCAGAGCTCGCCCGTGGTCTGCCCGGCCCCGCAAGACCAGCCGCCCCGCAGTCCTTGTGCACGCTCAGCTCGGGCAGTCGCCGGCTTGTTAGCGAGTGATTGATTGCCTTATTAAAGCGTGTTCTTGTAAGTGTGACCAAACTGATTGCATTGCATATGTTTGGGATAATGCTCATTTTAAACAACAGGATAAAGAGGATGAGCTCCACAGAGCCTCCGAAGACGAAATGATTCCGGCCAGCAGCTCCCTAACTCTGGCATTAAATTGCCCAGTTACATAGCAAATCACTTGGTTCCTCCACCCTTGTCCCCATTTTTTCCCTGGCCTGCAGTATGATCGAATCCTCCAATGTGGTCTGCCCCATGCATGGTTTCTCTAGTGACTATATCAGCTCTGCCTTCCTGGTCCAAAACCCTGCAATCGCAAACCCCAGACATACAGCCCCCCCCCCCCATGCCCTTATCCCAGGCAGAGGGAAAGTGATTCAGAATGCACCTTTTCACCCTAGGCCTCCCAGGGGGACATGGCTCTAGCCGCTCCCCCAAATGGGAGCTGAGGTCCTCACAGCAAATTTGTGTCTCCCCACCCCCACCCCAGACCTTTCTCGAAAGTTTAAAAGATTCTTTTGTTCCCAGGCTTCTCCCGCTCGGTTGCTTCCATTATTCCTCAATCCAGGAAACTCGCTGCCATATGTCGGCCAAAGAGCATGGGTGTCACGGTGGACAGTTGTCGAGGACGCAGAGGGATGGCATTCTCCAAGGGGGAAGAGCTGTTCCTTCTTAGCATCTTCTCTAGGCAGGTCACCCTGGAGTGAGAACCAGGAGTAGGAGTTAATGAGTGGGTGGAGGGAAAGGAGGTTGGGACAAAAAAAATGGGATCTCTTCTAATTACTCCACCTACAACTAATGGTTGTGGCCACGTTCTCTTTCTATGCCTGTTCCCTAACAAAGAAATCTTCAACCCGCCTTCTCCCACTCCAGTCGACTTGCACGGAAGCCAAACTGCAGGCAGATTGAACTTCCTAAGGGACACCTTTGGAATACGCTGGAATTCTGATTTGTTCAAGATGACAACAGACAGCAGGACAAGTCAGAAACGATGCCATTCTTCTGGGTGTCATTTGTAAGTGCAATCGCACAGATTCGTTTGCAAGACCCAGCTAAAACGTGTCTGGATATGAGAGACTTGATCCAAACGGCAATTTTCCTCCATCACTCAGCTCCTCTCTGGCTCTGCAGGGGCAGGCACATCAGGCTGCATTAGGGCGAAACCAAGGCCCAGCTCACCATTTGTGCCAGCTTGTGAGACCCAGAAATGTTGACCCTGAGGGAAAAAAAGCCAGCCACAAAACGCATGCTACCCATCTACAAAGTAAACAGAAACACAAACTCGTTTCCAAAATCACCTTCTCAGCAAATAAGTATGTAATATTCTGAGCAGGAGCAGGAGAGAGAGAGAAAGATTGCCACTTAAAAATAACATGAAAGCATTAAGTAATTATTTAAAACAAGGCTGTTTAGAAAAATATTTGTATTTATTGCAGCTGCTCAATTGGCCTCGTTAAAGTCGGCAAGCATTTAAATTGTGTTACAATCTCATTTAAATCCCGCTCCGTTCCAGCAGGCTGAAGAGCTTGAATAGACCAATCACTTCATAATGATGATGAATGAGAAATTAATTCAGATACAAGCAAGACAATTTAGGCCTTCATCTGTTTAAATAGCCTTCCAATATTATTCACGATCGCGGGTCACAGATTGAATCAATTGTCCAATCTTGTGAAAGTCATATCCTTGCATCTTCATCGAGATTATTTATAGCGCAGTGAGGGCTGCTGAAAGGTATACGCTGTTAACAGGGACAATTACTTAAAGGGAAGCGTTTATAAAATGGAAAACAAATGCTGGGGTTAGTAACAAATGGGATCAAAAGCAGCCATTCCAATCCGGCTCCCCGAGGGAAGGGAGCGGGCGCGGCCCCCGCAGGATGAGGGGCGCTCCGGGCTCGGCCTCTGGCCTTTCCAC